TTAAGTATGCGGTCTTATTTTGAAGTTAATAGTGGGCTCTAAAAATTCTTGAAAGAATTCAAAAATCATAACTTTCAAGATTAAATGCAATTACAGCATTTTAAAATCGTGACATTTTTTTGAAACGTTACTCGCTGAATAGAGAACATAATTTTGTTTATTCTATACTACAGAAAATGCACATTGAAGAAACCATCAACTATAATAGTGTCATTTATTTAGTGATTAAACAAAAACTCCCAGAGATATTGAAATAATATCGGACATAAAATACCTGTTATTATCATTTCGCGTTCCATGTGCTAGGCACCACAGCTGAGATGTAGTTATAGAATCACACATAGCAGTTTAAATAACGTTTATAGCTCTAAAAAATTTGTACGCAGCTTACCAATCTAAGTCGGCTCTCTATCCGGCTCAAGGACCAGTACTTACTGTCAACCGTACCTTTTTAATTTTTCTTTTCATTTGCCTTTTTATCACCATGACCACACTAACATTTTTAGTTTAATTCCGACCCAACCAAATCAATCTCCGCCATTTTATTTTGAAAACAAGCATAGGCGTAGGTACCTAGTTTTCTGTGTTACGATACGAATTGATTTTTGTATGTTTAATCTTTTGCACATTCCGTGTGCAGTAAATAATACCTACTAAACTTTACAAAATGAACAGAGGACAAAGAAAAGATAAAGGGCATATACAAATATCCGGTGTTTGCAGGACAATCACTAACTGTCGTTGCCTCGGTATAAAAGGTACACAAAGCTCTATTACAACAATGTTTGACTTTGATAAGAGATCATTGTTACCTAAGAAAACCGATTTTTTTCAGCTAAAAGCGTGAAATTTTCCTAACCTCACTATAATATAAACATAAAATATTAAGTAACGTAGTATAAATTTTATTTAACTTTTTTTCAGATAACATTCCTGTATTGGTATAACTTAAATGTATTCGAAAAGATAATCCTCTTTATGTTTTGAGAATCGAAAATGTCTAGATTGTGTTTGTGTATTACGTAAGCATTGTTGGCTTTGTGATACATAAAAATTTATGAAATAGGTATCTTTTCTTCGTTTATCGAAGTGTAAATATAAAACCTTTTGAGATAATTCTACAATATAATATAAACATTTATACCTAATGTATTCTTTGTGTATACGTACCTTTCGTATTTCTAGATGTGAATTGATCCATTATTCCGTGCTAAAATCTGTTCTAACGGAAACATTTGGCATTTACATTTCATTGCATTTATACAAACCTTGTTTAATACATCTTCGTATATTGGATGTCTCACCTGAAAATATGTGTTGGAAAAGCTACGCCAAAGCGATGCAATTCTTATTATTTATATCACCTCCTACTTATATAGATAAAGGTTTATGAAATCTGAATGTACAAACCCTTTAAATGTGTAAAAGCCCTTTTACTGTTCAAAAATGAAAGTTTTTGTCGACAAATATAATTTTGCCAGAAACTTCGACTCTTTTCAACTTGATCCAAACTCAAAATGAGATTTATAAAGTGCAGAAGTAAAATTAAATGCTATCGAGGTGTATAGACGAAACTCGAACATGGATACCGCATTTATCTTAGAGAATTACGGTAAATACTCAAATTACTCCATTAGAACAAAGGATTGTAGTGCGTGAAAGGGTGCATTGTATTTGTCCGGATTGGCGTACAGAGCGCGAGCCGAGACAATCTCCCTATGAATGGGATCACAGGAGGCGTTCAATTCCTCCTCACAATGAACGCATTATCTTTTGTCGCCAACTGAATATGTTAGCTTAGATAATAATATGCTACACTATTCATTCAAAGTACAATGAAATTAAAAGCTTAATTTTTGACGGTATTATTCTATATTATACAAATATTTTTTATTTGCATTAAAGCACATTATAAAGACATTCCAATTTTGAAATATAAAGTATTTGTGCATGGATTTCTTTACACCCCCAGAATTATCTAGCAAAATGCTAGATATAACGACATTTAATCGTATACAGCTTTTATTTAGTGGTGCACCTTATTTAGTATAAGCCTATAAAGACCTCGGTTTCTTTAACGTTACATTGGGGTTAGTAGGCTTGTCATAGTTAAAGATTTTCGATAAATTCTTATTAACCGCGTTATTTATCTAGTGTGACACTTTAAAAGACATCAGTGAAGTTGATTCAAACTCAGAAGTGCCAACTTAATGGGGTTGGGAGATGCTCCACTTCCCCTACATGGCAAGCTAGAAATATGTGTATTGTGACCATTGACCTGCTATTATTTGCTGGTTAAATTAATTTTAAGTTAATATGCAGTGGAAAAGTACCTCTTCTAAAGAGATAGGGGACAGAATGCGAGACAATGCAAATCTCGTTCGAAAAAATCATTTTCTTAAGAGACTGTGTTTGAAATCTTTTTAGCAAGAACAATCTTGGAAACATTATGAAAAATCTCCTTCGAGATCGTTTTAAAAACTTTCTTAAAATATTTTTACGATTAAGGTAATTTTGGAGATTAGTAAACATTCTTTAGCTCTCCGAACATATCCTAGTACTTTTGGAAAAATATTCTGAGAAATCTTGACTTCCTGCTTTTCTAGAAATATTTTTAAATCATTCCCTCATAATCTTCTGGGCACTTTCGTTTCAAAATCTTCTTAAGAGGAAATTTTACCAGAGCTTTACGAATTTTACATTTAAGTATAATATTTTAATTACCGCCCTAGAACTCTTCCTAGATATCTTGAAAAACTACTTAATAATCCTCTTATAAACGGTGTTGGGTCACCTTAGATATCTTGTTAGCGACCTTTTCGGAAATATTCTTAGGAATTTTAATTTAAACAGACCAAACAAATTTTTTTGGAAACATTTTTGATAACATTGAAGATCTCATGAAATTCCAATTAAAACTAGAAATCTGTCAAAACATTTTCTAAAACATTAAAGTTTTTTTGCAATATTTCCAGAAATTATGAAAAATGTCTTCGGAAACGTAGACATATTTAAAATCTTGCTTAAGAGCTATTTTGGGCACATTTCTAGAATCATCCCCGGGTCTCTAGAGAAAGTATTGCTGCTAGCGTTATATAGGAGCTGTACATTTCGAAACTTATGCCCATCGATCGTCAATTCGCCACCAAATAAACGAATCCTCCATGTTTTCTCTGTTTTTTAGGACTATTCGGGTTCTTTTTTTATTAGGATTCTATTGAAATTTTTTGAATTTTCAGATACTTGATATTCTTCAGTTGAGATTCTTCAATTTTGTCCAATTCCTCAGATTCTTCTAATTTTTTCCTTTCATCGGTTCTATCTTTCCATAAGAACCTTTAGATTTTAAAGTTTCTTCAGATTCTTGTGTTTCTTCGAATTTCTAAGATTCTTTTTATTTTTTTTCGGATTAACTACTATTCGTTGCGTATTTTGATGCTTAATAAAATGTGTTTGGAAATAAACTCCCCAAATTTAGTAAATTTGTACCAAGTAAAGAAGTTTAAAAATGATTCCCGCAAGGTTGCGTTACTAAATTTTACGTTGGTGATTAATCTGTCACTGTGTAAAAAATGCGGCGGAAGAGGGATATATTTTCTACAAAAATTGCACTCGAAGATAGGGCAACTAATGATGAACAACCAACAAGCATCAAATTAACATTGACTAAAGAATCGAAAAATCTTTATCGCTTCTTCTATAAACATAAATTTGTTTTTCATGCTAAACTCCCATTTCTATATTCAGAAACTATACTTTCATTCAAAACGCAAAGTTTTTGTTTAAAGCTCTACAAAATATCATAATAACATTGTCCATTCTTAGAGATCTATAAAAAATCCACACATCATTAAGTCATTCTTTGGAGTTTCCAGAGATTGTTAAATACTACACTAAACTACACTTTTATATATTTTGAAGGTTATATTTTTTCAATTTCTATAAGTTAAACCTTTTTTGAGCATCAGAGGTACTCTTTTTTTCTCTTTTCATTGCTTTGCCTTCCCGAAGTTTTGTATCATAACTTATTATTTTTGGACAACTTTTGCACCCAAAATTGTTATAGCTCCACAGATTCTGTAGTTAACGAAGAAAAAGACAACATTTTATTGTAACTGAGTACCTGATATATCAATTTCACTATACTTTTTCCCTGACTCTAGCTTTCTTAATTTTATTTATCTGACTTGAGGCAATTGATTGATTACATTTGAAGTTTCATATTTCAGTCTCAATTTACGAGATGTCGATTTTATATTCCTGGACAAGGCGCGAAGACAAAAAACTAAACTAGCAACAACAAAATTTTATTTTTCAATATAGTTCTCGTGCTTTTGAATACAGGGTATATAATAACACCGTTTCAATAACATCTTTAATCCAGTATACATTAATTTATATAATCGATAAAATTACCCGAGAGTCCCAAAAAATTGGTGCTATTTTTTTTCCTGCAGAAGGGGGATTTTAAGCTTGGAGAGCTGTATTCCTTAACGTGCCACTGTTTGGATTCAAGATCATAACCCAGGATTCATCTTCAGTGGCAAGTCGATTGATAATGAAATCTGGTTAATCTCCACAACGCGCCAAGAATGGTTCACAGATGGCGAAATGGCCCAAGGTACTACTTGTGTAAAATTTGGGCATTTTAAACTTCCCTTTCGCAGTGAGGTACTTTTTCGGCGATGTAGTGACGAGCTAATGAAAAAGTCTCCTCGTACAAGCAGTTCCAGTGAACCAATAACCCATCAGTCCCCCAAAATGGTAAAATCGCCTGGACTAGAGACCGAAATTTAGTCGCCGATACTGTATGCGGGAAGTATGCGTGTGTGAACGGCTCCATAAAACGCACTATTACAGGTGTACCCGAGATACCGGTATCCAGGAGACTGTATCCCCGTGTAAAAGCGGTCTAAAACACTATTTAAACTATGCTTTGAACCCACCCACTATTTCGCTATTGTAAATTTCACTCATCTAACGTCCTTTTATTGTTCCAGAGCATTACACATGAAGGAACACCCAGATTACAAGTATCGCCCACGAAGAAAACCGAAGCCATTAATAAAGAAAGAATCGAAATTTGGCTTCTCAATATCGCCGTTACTTTCGCCACCTCTAGACGCAACATCACTTCATCGAGCAATGCTGCCACCAGTATCAACCCCTACGGGTTTACCGCCGCTATTATCAAACGATCCCGATCATCTGAAAATACCCCGATCCATTTTTCCTCCCTTACCTTACCTCTACCCTTTCCGACATCCCGACGAGTCAAAGATCGCGGCCGAATTGGCGCTATTATACAACAGTAGTCCGTTATATTCCCCTAGCATTAATTGGCCAATTAGTAATTTAACTGTTAATATGAATAGTCCGTGTAACATCTGCCCGCCCGCGTTTCCCCGAAGGACTCCAAGTCCGGAAGTAATCAAAAGGCCAGTCTGCGTGATAATGAAACCCGACGAAGTCCGGAATGAGATACCGCCCGTTCCAACACACGTTATATGAAAACCGCTTCCGGTTCTTCCTGAAAGGTTGAACCTTACCTGGTGGAACGATATCACATCGCATCTAGTGACGTCGTCCGCCTCATCCTCTACGTCTACCGCAATTTCAAAAGACGATTCGGTAAGAGAAACCAGCGGCAGCCCGTGTTAAAAAAGTGCATAAGTTAGTGGAAATTGTGCAATTGAACCTGTTACACTTTTAAAAGGATATCTTTAGGTCAACGGTATACGTCGTTGTTAGAAACTTTGATTGAGAAACTGTTTTATTTTTTATTATTCTTATTTACGTTAATTGATGTTTGTAGCATAAGAATAAATTTGTTAGTTCGTTCTTTTATTGTTCTTTAAACGTTTCCTACTGAATTAATGTAATAAAGTTGTTAATTAGTATAAATCTTTATTATATTTTGTCTGTTTAGATATTCATCTCATTCTTCTATGCCATACTACCTAGCCGGGTCAGTTCCAGCAACTGGATATGAGTGATATGACATCCCTTTCTGAACCCTTAAAATTTCGTTGTGGAAACAGCATTTGCTAAAAAGCAAACTGCTCTTATAATACGTTCCATTTACTCAATAGTCACGAGCTATAAAAAACAAAAAATCACAACATAAAAAAATGACATTTTTGCATCACTTTCACTAATACTGATTGATTAAACTTTGATTCATATGCAAAAAAAGTTATTCACTATTCTAAAAGCTTTAGTTCCAAACTATCACATCAACGTGAATAAAAGGTTCGCGTTTTATAAATGTTGTAGGCACAGCGTGAGCTTTTTAAAGTGTTACAAGGGGATTTCTCGAAAACGGGTTTAAATATTTTTATAAAATTTTGATAACACATGGGAGGACAAATTTTAAATTTTTTTTTCTCAATTTTTAGGGACTTTGACATTTTAAATGAATTATTATAAAATTCAAATCTACATAAAAAACTACGTATGTGCTAATATTCTTTGTTTAAATGCGTCCATGGTTACGGAGCTATGGTTTTCAGAAATTACAATTTAAAAAAAACTTAATTACCAATTTTTCAACGCCGAAGTAGTTCAAAATGTCTTCATCGAACTTTTAAACGCTTTCGCACTTTACGTCTAAATGAATTTCGTACATGTTCTAATGTGCGGTGGACATTACTTGATCTTTTATAAATCCCCATAAAAGTAAATCCATGAGGCTCAAATCCGGGGACCGAGGAGGTCAGTTAACCGTAACCTGATCAACCAATCTATCTATTTTCAAACATTTCGTGTAAATAATTATGCATGATGGGGTGGAGCCCGATCCTGTTGAAACCACATGTCAAGATTTATGTTTTCGTCCAATAATTGGTGTAATTAAAAGTCTGTGTACATTTCCCCATTTAAATGTTCTTTAAAAAAAGCGGACAATAACTCTGTCCCTTCGTTCGCGTCCATGTTTTAAGTAATATGCACAAATTACTAATAAAACGTCAAATTTCTTAAATGACTTAAGTCATAATATTATGTATTTCCATAGACCTTCCACCTTATAAAGGTGTTTGGAAGTTCGAAAATTTGTAATTAAGTTGTAATTGTTTTATTGTAATATCTAAAAGAACTATAGTTCCGCCGTATCCTTATTATAAGGCACCACAATGCTGCAATTTTGCACTTTGAAAAATCATTGCAGCAGTATCTATCGCCTTGAAATCTTCTCGGGACCTAGAATATTCTCAGAATCTTTCCGAAAATTTGTAAGCTTACAAGAAAGGCTCTGGGGAGCTTACCTCTAGGTGATCTTTAGATCCCCTCAAGAATTGGAAGCGTTCAATTCTTAGACCTCCTAGATTGTAGTGTTAGGGCATTAGATTTTACGTTATGTCTTGTTGTGTTTCAACTTACAATCTTCCTTAGCAATTAGAGAGCATACGGACGTTCCAGAATACTCATTTGGATTTATACCAATACAATAAATTGAAGGATTTCAAAGCTGTTGTCATGTGGATATCTTTATGCTCAAAGATATTACTCCAGGTTATGCATTAGTAAGAACCAATTTTTCGTAGCTCAACATCTGAATAAATTAATAATCTGAACAAACTGTACTCAAATTGCTACTAAACTCGATAAGGGCTGCATGGAAGAACAGACTCACGGACACGGTCTTACAAAATTATTGGTTTCTAGCATTGCATTGTCTCCAACTACCTTTCACACTTTAATCTAAGCCAAAGCGACACACCACACGCCCGAGTATAAACAAACGTACCGGCCTGACAATACAAGCGGGTGTTATCGTTTTAAACTATTATGATCATGATCGTCAGTGTACACACAGAGTTATGTACCCGTGGCTAAATTTCACGAGAATGATTCTGTAGATTGCGCCTACTTAAAAATTAGTTTAAGTGAAGTGTTTAATAAAATTAACAATTTGAATTGCTCAACAGGTCCAGGTCCTGGTCCTGATAGCATATCAGCACTTTTCCTTAAAGAAACTGCATTTGTTATCTCTCCTCCCCTAACACTACTTTTTAATTATTCGCTTTCAACCGGCTACGTTCCCGATACCTGGAAAGTGAGCTATGTCACACCCATACATAAATCAGGCGACAAATCTAATATTCGTAACTATCGCCCAATTTCAATCTTAAATATAATTCCAAAAATCTTTGAAAATATTATAGTTGATAAAATCACCCCATTATTTAGCAATATTATAACTGAAGAGCAACATGGTTTTACGAAAGGCAGATCTACATGTACAAACTTGCTAGTTTACCAACAATATATTTAAAAGCGTTAGAGAACGGTCACTAAGTTGATGCAATATACACGGATTTTACAAAGGCGTTCGATAGAGTTAATCACCAACTCTTACTAAATAAATTATCAAGTTATGGCATAAAAAATCCGCTGTTAAACTGGTTTACTAATTATCTGTCAGGGCGTCAGCAAATAGTTAAAATAAAGCAATTTACTTCCTACGCAATACCAATAACTTCAGGAATTCCGCAAGGGTCACATGTAGGCCCGCTATTGTTTAATATTTTTATTAATGATATTTCTAGTTGTTGAAGAAATTCAAAATTTTTACTATTTGCAGATGACCTTAAGTTGTATTCAATTGTAAGGTCCGCTTCAGATGCCATAACGCTCCAATCTTCTCTAAATGAAGTCCTACAGTGGTGCCAAAACAATGATATGTGCCTCAACTTTTCTAAATGCTGTGTGATGCGTTTTCATCGAATCTCTAGGCCCTATCTGTTCAATTATATGATAGAGAATGTCTCTTTGTGTTCTGTTTCAACAATTGTTGACCTCGGTGTTACTCTTGACCCGGCCCTAAGATTTCATCAGCACATTAATAACTTAACTTCGAAAGCTCTACAAAAACTTGGTTTCCTGAAGTGCACTACGGCCCATTTTACACACATACAGACGATAAGGTCGTTGTACTGCTCGATAGTAAGGAGCAATATTGAGTACTGCTCTCCTGTTTGGTCCCCACACTTTGATAAGTACATCCATAGAATTGAGTCCATTCAACACAAGTTCTTAGATATGCGGCATTTAAATTAAAGATAGCAATACATAGTAACGATTTTTCTTATGAAGAAATACAGTGTATTTTGAACTTACAATCCTTAAGTACCCGTAGGAAGTTTGCAGATGTGTACATTTTATTTAAATTAGTTAACTCTGATATAGATTGCCCATACTTATTGTCACGCTTAAACGTTCCCTCCAGAACTTTACGTAATATACAATTATTCCATGTTCCCTTCCACAGAACAATGTACGGACAATACTCTCCTCTAGTAAGAATGTGCAATTCCGCAAATGTACTATGTACTAATATTAACTTTTTTGGTACTACATTTATCGAATTCCGAAGGAAGCTGATGTTACACAACGGTTAATCAGTATAATTTGGGTTTGTATTCTTTTTTACGTAGGTGTTTACTTAAGGGTTTTTAGAAACAATGAAATTTACCATTCCGTTTTTCAATATAATGCACTTGATTTTTATTTAAAATATTTTTTGTTAAGTTTATCATTATCAGTAATTTTGATTTATAGTCACACTTCGTCTTGTTATTACATTTTGCTATAGATATTATGTTTTGTATTTCTTTGTAAAAATGGTATTTTATGAGATAATGGAGTAGCAGAGTAAGCAATTAGCCTTAGTGAAAACGTTAACTGTTTATTATTTATTATTAACTTATTATTAACTGTCAACTACCTTAATTATGACAACTCTCACTCACTTGATCATAATGTACAATGTGACTCGCTATCCAGATTCCAACACTTCCCCTCGAGTCGCAGAGTGGTCTTTATCATATGACTTCATTCCCATCATTGTAACGCAATCCTCATGTTTATTTCGAGGAAGTCTTTTGGTTAAGATATCTGACAACATATTCTCTGTTGATATATGACCAATACTGATGATTCCATTTTTTAAAGCTTCGCGGATGAAATGATAACGGATGTCTATGTGTTTACTACGTGCATGAAATGTAGGATTTTCAGAAAGTTTGATAGCACTAAGATTATCGTTAAACATCTTCATCTTAGAAAGATCGTTCAATCCCAACTCCAAGAACATTTTTCTTAGGTAGATACCCTCTTTCAATGCCTCTGTCATTCCCATATATTCTGCTTCGGTTGAAGACAAAGCAACAGTTTTCTGTTTCTTGGATTCCCATGAAATGGGACCACCGGATAACATAAAAGTAAAACCAGTATATGAACGTCGATCATCGAGACAACCTCCCCAATCGGCATCAACGTAACCTGTCGGTCCGTCTTCGCTTGCACATCTAAAAATAATTCCAAGATTCATGGATCCTTTTAAATAACGTAAAACACGCTTTGCTGCGATCCAATGTGTTTTTGAGTAGCAATTATTGAATTGACTCAAATAACTTACAGTGTAGCTAATATCAGGTCTTGTAGCCATTGATAAATAATTCAAAGCACCAATTAATTCTCGATATGGTAATTTAGTTTCTTCAACACTTACAGGATTAACATTTTTCTGCAATTTCGTATTACAATCCATAGGCGTGCTCACAGGATTCGCATCACACATTCCAAAACGATCCAGTAAGTCGCATATGAATCCTCTTTGATGAACTTTAATTTCTTTTGCGGTTCTTTGGAATTCTATTCCTAAGCAATAACCTACTTCTCCAATATCCTTTACATCAAATATAGAGGAAAGTTTTCTAATCAATCCCTTAATATCTTCCAAATTTCGTGATGCGATAAGAATATCATCGACATACACGACGATTAAAATTGATTCTTGACCCTTCCCAATTTGATACAGACAGGAATCTCCGTTGCTTGGTTTTGCTCCGAAGCGCTGCAAAACTTCATCCAACTTAAAATACCATCTTCTTCCTGCTTGGCGAAGTCCATAGAGTGACTTCTTAAGTAAACACACCTTGTTACCTTTTTGTAATGATTCTATCATCTCTGCTGCTTTGTTTCCAATATTGGATTTATCTTCCCTGGAAATTTTGTACAGTATTTTATCCAATTGTTTTGGAGTTTCCATGTACAAAGTTTCTTCCAATTCTCCGTTTAAATATGCACTGACTATATCAAGTTGACGAAGGTGCATGTTGTAACGAGCAGCTAGTGCAGTAACCAACCTTACTGAACTAAGACGTGCAACCGGGGCAAATGTTTGGTTAAAATGAATGCCCGGTTGTTGACTGAATCCTTGTGCAACAAGTCTTGCCTTTCTCTTTTCTAGTGAACCATCGGCGTTGTATTTATTCCGCAGTACCATACGACTGCCAATAACTTCTTGGTCAACAGGTCGCTCAACTAATATCCATGTATCATTTTTTATTATGGACTTTATTTCGTTGGCCATGGCATCATACCATTCTTCTACTTCATCGCTATTTAACGCTTGATTCCATGTAACTTCAGCGGTTGATGCACTTTCAACTTCTGAAGAATTTCCTGTATCGTTCGAAATCATATGAAACACCTTCCGCGGTCTTCCCCTTAAACCTGTCTTCACCAAATAAGGTCTTCCTGGTCCGCGTTTCATTTCTTCTGTATTTGTGTGTTCTTGAGAAACTTGTAAGCCATTGATTTCTTCTTTCGCAATATGCTCCTCTTCAACTTCTTCAATTTCTTTAATTTCGACTAATACTTTATCCACTTCAAAAGTATTTTCCTTGTCCTCCTCAAAAAATTCTATGTACTGCTTTTCTGAATTAATGTTTCCTTCCAAGAACTTAACGTCTCTTGTAACTTCTACTTTCTTATCTTCCACCAACCAAACTCTGTAACCCTTGGTTTGCTCAGAGTAGCCGAGAAATATTCCTTGTTTACATCGGGCATCAAATTTTCCCTTACCAGGTTTCTTATGCAAGCAGAACACTTTACAACCAAATTCTTTAAAATTACTAACATCTGGTTTCTTACCATTCCAGACTTCATAAGGAGTTTTTCCATCTAAGCTTTTTGAAGGGCAGCGATTACGAATGTAGTTAGCACAATTGATTGCTTCAGCCCAAAACGATGGTGGTAAACCTGATTGAATCAGCAAACAACGTGCAGTGCTTACAAGAGTACGATTCTTCCTCTCTGCTATGCCGTTTTGTTGTGGGCAATAAGGAGCTGACAAACGTCGTACAATACCGAGTTGACTCAAAATTTTGTCCATTTCCTCGTTCTTGAATTCTGTTCCGTTATCTGACTGAAGACATTTTAATTTTCTGTCCTTTTGATTTTCTACTTGAGCTATAAATTCTTATGAGATAATGGAGTAGCAGAGTAAGCAATTAGCCTTAGTGAAAACGTTAACTGTTTATTATTTATTATTAACTGTCAATCTACATTAATTATGACAACTCTCACTCACTTGATCATAATGTACAATGTGACTCGCTATCCAGATTCCAACATATTTCCGTTAAATAAATAAATAAATAAATAAATGATCAAATAACCTGGGTATCGGAAACCGTAGATAATGGTTCCGAGTTTTCTGCACTACCACCTATCTAAACGGGGCTTTAGGTGAATGGGTACTAAACATTTTGTACACTGCTTGACCGTAGAAAGTCAGAGCGATGGTCACCTTCGCCGCTCTAGAAATCTGTTATTACACTGGCCGGTGTCTCACTTTCAGCAGAGATATACGTAACGTAAAGGTTTATCTGTGCTTTCAGCAATTTCTTCTGACGCAATAGGTTAAAATAGCCATTGGTAAACGTTTTTACTTTATTATTATTTTATTTTTATTTTTGATTTTTGTTTTTTGTCCTAAAGAAGTCCATACGAAATTGGTCGAAACGTTGACTTTTCGTTCAGCATTATTGACACGTTATTTCACTATCTTAACTAAAAACACACAAAAATTGTCCACTTCAGGAACCCCCATTTAAGTATTTGTCAACGAAATTATAGCATAATTGCCGTTCTATAAAGTTACATCATGGGTACCTCGTCTTGCATAACTACACCCTAGACATTAACCATTGGTATAGTTAATAATAACACTACGTACAAAGAAAAAACTGCTTGCTGATATTTTCACTGAACACAGACGCAATTAATCCCTTTGTAGCCTTTGGTATTTGATAGTTTGTAGGAACTTCAAGCTCAACTGCTGCAGTGTTTTCCAGATACCCCTTTTATTGTCCCAATGCCTATGAAACGTTAGCTAGACTGTCAACTCTTGTTTGTGTTTGATTTACACCCTCCAATAGCCTGTCTATAAAGAGACGTTGTGCTAAGTGAAGGATTCGATTCATTATAAATGGAAATTAATTGATATTATTACAACAGCTACGTCTTAATAAAGCTCCGCACGAGTACGAAACACATAAGCTGTGCTTTTTTTATTTCTGCAATAATTCAAAATGTAATAATGCAACCCTTGTTATAACGTCTAAGTATTTATCCCCTACAATAACTTCGGTACTTGGCATCCATTGTACTCTGAAAGCAATTTTCACTTAGTTATACTTTTGTTTCTATTTTCCACTTGGCTTGGTCAATAAGGGCTCTTGTTACTTTCATTTAGCGATCGATGCGACGAAAATTAAAAATAACCAAAATCGAGAATCTCCTTCACAACTCGGTTGTAATTACTTTTTTTTTGTAAGGCTTACAATACATGCACCGCCGATGTTTTCCAAGCGCTCGATTTATATTGAATGTAACTTTTGAAAAATGCCCCAAACATAAAGCAATATTTATTTCTAATATATATCATTGTCGATATCACAAAATACATATTTTCACATACGTGGCGACCTTCTATTTAGATAAACATTCGGCCTTCTTGAAAATATGAGCGTCTTTTGGTCAACGCCAGGAAATACAAGATTGTTATCAGATGACGTAGTGTCACACTTGGTCACTCGTGCCGTTTTATTTACTTACTCCTTACTTTATTTTAGTCGTTTCTGATAAACGGCACGAAGGGCGAGAATCAATTTATAACTGTTGCGTACCAACCAGTAACACTTCATATTCATTCTGTAAATTAGTGTAATACAGTAACTAACTGTCCACAAGGGTGAATATACAACATTTAATTTACCCTTATAAGCAATGCTCTATGTATAACAAATGTGAGCAGACGTATTTCGTATTTTGTTTCTAAAATTGCTCGTGAAATTTTCAAGGTGAATGCCATTACCAAAAGGAAATAATAAGACCAGTTTCACATTAGTCAGAATAATCAGTTATCAGGTGAAAGTGTCGTCACTCACAGAACAATCATTTTACTTTATGCAGTTTAATATTTGCGTTGTAATCGAACCGTTCATTTTCACCATCAGTTTTGTAGTTTCGTGCCTTTAAAAATGAAGAAAATTATCCAGGGTAAGTTCGCTCTGTAATTCAGCTTCACTTTCGAATACTGATATACCGAAATCCATTTGATTTAAATATGAACTAATTAGCGAAACGAGCAATTGATGTTTAATTCGGACACCATCTCAAATGTGAGTAACAAATTTCGGAATTTTGTAATACATAATCTTTGAGTAGCAAAATTCAGTGACCAGAAAATAATACCTGCTGTTTCATGGTTCGTACGCGTTGACTTTCACAAAAAGGGTTCAAGCTTGCCAGATCTGTTTCAAACTGATATTAACAAATTTAGCACCATAAGCGGCCTCTCCATAGTTGTTAACCCTGTGGAGAGAGCGGTAAGACAATCGACATTTTAAGCATTTTTTTTATGGTCTCTCTTTAAGACGTAATTTAAAAAAATCTAAAAAATTGAAGCTGAAAGTAAAAAAATGCAGTTTACTGATTAGAACATCGCGGTTAATGCTATAAAAAGCTTTAGAGAAATCCGTGTATTTGTTACGAATATAAATGTAGCGACCGGCATGCGGCATTTGATGTAAGATTGGAAAACATTTACATCCGCAATATTTCATGCTGATGGATGAATAGTAGCTCCAACTTCGGCATGCAGGCGTTCACGGGATACACTAGTCAAATTTTGAAAATTGTCACTCTAATTGCCCGAATTTCCTTCTTCACTCAATTCGAATTTTGGTTGCTAAATTAAATAATATCTACCATTTAAATGCCGCCAACCCTGAGAAGGGAATGAATTGCACCCCAAAAATTTTAAATGGGCAGGGGTAGTATACCACGATAACCATGTTCATTTTGTTGTCAGCACTGTTTTTATTTTCCAAATCCGATTAGTAGTTCCAAAAGAAACTCCATTTAAATGGATTTGCAAGAGGAACTTCCTAACAATACCAATTATTCAAAATTACAGAAAAAAATTTATTTATCACTTTATTACGTGTTCGAACTCTCCTAGCAAACTTATGTGGCCCATCACCGGTTCATTCATTCGCCTTTCTCATCTATCTCCTGTGCTTCCTTGCTTTAAGTTTTTTTCTCGGCACTTTCCTTCCCCATATTTCTAGATTTTTTTTGTTCTGGTTTGGTAAGAGACCACATTTCCGCTATGTTACTATTGGCCGCACTACTGTCATACGCTCTTCTGAAATCGATAAGGACTAAATCCAGCAGCAGGTTTACGCTCGTAGCTATTTGCTATTAGCTGTTTGAACACAAAAATTTGGTCGGTTACAAATCTGCTTGCCCGAAACCATAGTCCCCTATTAAGTTTTCTGCTATTTTCGATAACTTTCTACGTACACAGTTTCTCTGATCTGGTTACATCTGCTATATCTTATGTATTGGGCACAGTATTGCTTGTGACCAGTCTTTTAGCATTTGTTCAGCAGTCCACCCCTTCTATTAATTTGTACAACCTCTTATCCAAAGTTTCGCTTCCAAGCTTTAGCAATTCTGCTACCACTCCGTTCTCCCCCGGGTTCGTATTATTATTCAAGTGGTTTATTTCCTCCCTCGTTTCCTTCTCTGTGGATGCTTGTATCCGTCCTTCCTTCTGATCTCCTCTTCCTTCTCGTTCGTATTCCTCCATGCCTGTTTCCTCATTATTGTCCCCTAGGATTTCTCTGATGTATTTCAGCCTAGGTTTGAGCCATCTGCTCAAACTTTATTATGTGTCTCCCAAAGGCTTCCATCTTTGTCTGTAGTATAAGGGTTTAGCCTTTTTGCTTATTTTACCTTTTTTGCTTCTTGCTAAAAATGTGTCCTTAGTGTTGAAGTTTTCCTCAACTGCTGTATTTCTTCTTCCATTTTCTTCCTCTTTCCTTCTCTGCATATATTTGTAGTTTCTTTTCTACCCTCTTCATATCTTATCTTATTTTCGCGGGTCTTCCTAGCCATCATCTCCATCCTGGTTTGTTTCTCGTTTCAATAGCTTTTCTGTATTCCTCGTCTCATTTCATCCCATTTTAACGGTTACCTGATAAACATTTAAAATGACTCTGCAAATCCATTTTTGTCTGATCGGATTTGAAAAGTGCTGAAAACAGAATGAACATTCCTTTTGAACTATCCAACGTTTACCACTCCTTCCCATTTAAAATTTTTGGGGTTCAAGTCACTCCAAGAGTCACCCCCTTCCCGGACTTGAAGTTTTATTTATATTTTTTTATTTATTGTCTCTCTCTTGTTCTGGGTCCTCAACAGGCTTTCGCCCAATTACAGAGTGACCCGCATAATCCTTTTTAGAGGTGCCCCTGCAGAAGAGTTGTTCTATACTACTCCAATATATACTACCTTATGAATTAGCACAAAATTTGTATTAAATTAATTGAGTTATTTACCATTAAATTACCATTAATTTACAAAGAAATTTCGAGAAAAATGTATTCTGACAGAAAAATTTCACGTTGCTAAAAAGGTATGTACTGCTACTGCGCCCTACGTAAGTTTATAAAATTAACTACCACATTTTAATTGGTTATATACAAGATAATTTTTCTTCAACATTTTCCGTTTTCAGTAGCGTCTGTTAAGTCTAATTTTCCAGCGAATAACTTCAAAGTTGTAATTTTAACCGCAGATATATATTTTCCATTTAGGCTGTCAAAGCTAAAGTCGAGTCTAAATTAAAATGAAAACGGACCTTGTTAATCTACGTATGCCGCGTGAAGTGTTAAGATGGAGCTCATAATTGTACCACTATTACAATTATTCAATTTACATACTAATTTCAAGTTTTGGGGAGCTTGTACAGAGTTGAATTAAAAGGACAGGAAAATACATCAATTGAATTACAGTGACATTCTCGCAATATCATTTTGATAAAAAATGAGCTGCGTATATAATAACGAAATTCTAAAAAATCTAGACCTATGCTGGCAGCGGCAAGGCAGTCATGATTCCAACATTGTGCCAGAATTGGCCGGCATTGGCGATGAATGCACCCTAAAGACCACTCAGCTTCTCTTATTGCGTTACTCCATTCTACTAGCTCCCTGTTCTTTGTTAGGTTTTTTTTTTGCTGATTTCCGCTTTTCTTGTAACCCTTTGAACGTCAGATACGCGTTTATGGTGTATTGTGTTTCGAGATAATGTCATAAAAGAGAAATATAATAGATTTTGGACTTTTCTAAAATTGAATTTCGCCTCTTTCTGCGTCGAACTTCTGAAATTTTCCTTGTAATTTTAATGTTAATTTACTGCCTAATAAATAACCAAATTGTGTAAATTAAGTCTGCTAACACAATTACGAAGCAGATAATTAGAATACCCTAAATAGATCAGAACGTCATTAAGACCGCTTATAAGATTTAATAAGGAAAACATTAAACTGGGTATAATCGGAAAATCTAACCCTCCACCAATGCACAACGTTAATTTATTTACATAATAACATCTTAATTAGACGAAAATGGCTAAAATTTCAGCTTTTTCGGAAAAAATTGTAAAGATGAGACGGTTAACGTTAAGTGCATGCAGCATATTACAAGATTTTGTGCAGCATGCTGCAGCCACTTCTACTTCTGAAAGTGGCTCTGATTTATGGTTCATTTAGAGCGTAATCGTGCTGTATTTCCCAACAACGCAAACTTATAATTAGCATATGTAAACTTTGTACAATTTCTATAACGGATGCCAAGACTGGAAAACTTTTTAATTGTTACAAATTGCCTAAGTTAAATAACTTTGTAATTAAGTCATTCTAGTTTTGCGTTAGTTAACTGAAGGAAAACAAGATGTTTCCCCTTTTAAGATTAAACGATGCAATATAGATAGGGAGGCGCTTTTTTCCTTTTCAAAGATGCGTCGGAAAATTTACTTTTGAACTTGTTATACTCATCATGGACTTCGCAGTTTTCAAGAACGTCTTTGATGCCGTCATAAACGCACAGATTATACAGGGTCTTAATTAATTACTGAGACCCACGTGACTGCAGGTGGTTAGGCAACTAAAAATGCGCGAGTGGTAATCCTGATTTTTTTCCCCTAGGAAAGTTACTACTGAAGCCCAGTAATATTTGAAGGCCGAAATAAGTATTTTAGAGAAACACGAAATATATTGTACTATTTATTGTTACAAAAGGTGCTCAAAGTGGCCACCGTTCACTTCCAGGCACAAATTCACTCTACGCTTCATATTTTCAAATACACGTTCGAGTTCATCTTGCGTCACATCGTTTATTTCTTGTCGTATCGCCCTTTCCAATTCTTTGAGTGTGTGCAGTCGATTTTTAAATATATTATTTTTAATTCGTCCAAACAAAAAGTAGTCCAATGGTGTGAGATCAGGACTTCTTGGAGGCCACAAACCAGTGCTTATAATTCGATCGCCATAAAATTCTTGGAGGTATCTAAGCGTTTCGTTAGCGGTCTGCCTGTTGACTTCCCTTTGCAAATGCAGTGCTTGTTTTCATATCGTGTTATTAGACGTGACCTGTGGTTCTTAAATACATCGTAGTCGATATTAACATCAGGGTTCTCTTCGGAAAACTGTTCAATGCACGATTGCAGTGAATACTCCAAGTTCCATCAGGATTTCGGTTACCACTGCGGAAATGTGCCATTAAAATAAAAGCATCTTGCTCTGGTGTGAACACCATCTTCCTACAGCGATACACTAAAAATTCAAAATAACTTAATGACAATTCTCCTTAAAAAATTGTTAACTTACATCAGAATAACTTCGTAGCGTTAAGAGCTCTGAAAAGAACTGTTTTGGCTGTTGATTTAAGATAATGTTAAGAAATTCGAAAAAAACGGTAAACACAAGCAAAGATTGACAGGAGGTGAAATAAACAAATATGCAATTTGGGTATTTTGTTTTAACCACGATACACGTTTTAACCAACTGTCCGTGTCTACCAACATAAAGAAAAAATATTTAAAGCGGGAAATTTAAATTTGGTCACGTGGGTCTCAGTAATTGATGAAGACCCGGTATTTCATTTGATACTCTTGTTATTATCGTGCCTCTCTTTCGCTCGCAACCAGATAGTTTGAGAGTTCCCAAACATTCCTAGTATTAAATCCCTTGGGAAAAATGACTAGACAACTTTCCGTGTTCTCACATAAGCAGGATACGCATCCTTGCAAAGATAGCCGCCCTTAAGATTAGTAGAAATGGAACGTTCCCATCAAAATTAATGCGAATATGCCATTTCGCAATTTTGATTAGAGGAATTGTACGAAATTTCGTAGCCGAAATGTTCGCCTCCAAGAAAACCTATCCCACGTTTTTTCGTTTCCTCCCCGTTTCGCTCCCGAAAAGTGTATCCTCAGTATATCGAACGACGTAGTTTCTTCATTAAGTTTTCAAATTCTGTTTTCAGTAATAGGAACACAATGGTGAAGGGACTAACTGATTACATTTTGGTCATTTGGACCTTCTGTCCGTTCGTCGCATTAAGAACTTTTTAGAGAATTTAATAAGCTATCGTATGATGTAATAATATACAGGGTGTTCCATATAAAAAGTCACATTTTATCTAAAAATGTTGTTTCGTTTTTTTAATTACAGATTTGGATTCAGTAGAAAATATACACAATTTGGTAATTTAACCGCTTTTCTATTTTGTAACTACAACAACAAAGTTAATAATAGCGTTGACTTAATTTGAAACAGACTGTATAGTAGAAACAAAAACTGAAAAATGTACGTATCTGCGCAAGAGCATTCTAACCTTATTTGTTTTGAAATTGGGCTCGCGTATGCATTAAGGGTAAGTAATATCTCTGGACACAGTCAAACACAAAATAATTTGTTCTTTTTTGTCAGCAAAGGTGCCATCTAATGATGGAAACAAGTGAATGTATTTGGTGTGCACTAATGATAGCAGCTTCCCTTTCGAAATGCGTGTTAATTGTCTGCTGGTGATCACACCTTTGCTGTAGAAAAATATTTATTTTTTGTGGTTGACTGTGTACAGAGATTTTACCCCTTTTGTAAAAACGTATACTGACAATCTAGGGTCATTTCCTAAAACAACCATGGGGCACTTTTTACTTTTGGAACGGTACTTTTCATAGAGAAAACCGACTGTTTTAAATCTTTCTATAATCGTGTTTTATTTTAAACATCATGGTTTTTTTAGATTCCAAGTGTCAAAAAACCTTTTTTGGAAGAATTTTTGTCTAATTATTGATTATGGGAAAAGGTTTCAAGAAAGAAAGAGTACGGTTCTACAAATTTGAATGGGTTTTTTCTAATGAAACCTATTTAATTCTTGATGTGGTATAACAAAATGTGTTAAAACTTCACGCGAACTGTAAAAAATGTTTTTTTTTGTTTTCTGCACCTATAAAAATACACATTCTTTTCGATTAATGGAATGGTATTAGGAGCAATGGAGAAACTCAACAAAGTGCATATAAAATAAGGGTGGTAGTTTTTATTACCTAGCGATTTTCTAAAAAATCTGCCAATTTACTGTACAGTAATACAAATTTTCCCCTTTAGATTAATGGAATGGCGTAAGAAGCAATAGAGGAATTCGATCAAATGAACTACAATATCGCTAAGTTTTTTGAGTGAATTATTTTTGAAAGAACTGTCAATTGAGTATAAAGTGGTACATATTTCTCCCTTTAGATTATTGAAATGGCATAAGAAACAATGAAAGAACCCAGCCAAGTGGATGAAAAGATAGGGGACACTTTTTTATTAATGATTTTTTTGAAAACTGTCAATTGATCGTAAAGTATTACTCATTTCTACCTTAGATTAATGAAATGGCATAACAAACAATGTAAGATTTTAACCAAATGAACGAGAATTTTTGTACTAATTCTTTTTCAACAGGTGTGAGGTGTCAATTGATTCTAAAGTAATACACGTTTCTCCTTTCAAATTAATGGAATGGTGTAAGCAGCAGCGGAAAACTCAGGCCATACGTGGGCGGAATCGAGGGTGAGATTTTGTTTACCAATGATTTTTTTAAACTGCCAATAGAGTAAAGTCCCCTTTTAGGGAATGGCATAAGAAACAACGGAGAAAGTCAACCAAGTGAACGGGAACGGAGAAAGTCAACCAAGTGAACGGGAATATCAGTGAGTCTTGTACAAATGATTTTTTTTAACTGTCAATTGTGTGTAAAGTAATAATACACTTCTGTCTTTTTAAATTAATGGAATATTTGCAGTGGAACACTAAGGTAAGTGGGCGGAAACATAGGTGAAACTTATTAATGATTTTTTTTAAACTGCCAAGGTAGTGTGACGCACTTTTACACATTTCTCTTTTTAGGCTAATGGAATGACACAAGAAGCAGTGAGAAAATTCGACCAATTGAACGGGTATATCGGTGAGTCTTTTCTACCAATGATTTTTTCAAACACTGTCAAATGAGTGTAAAAAATACAAAACGGAATGGTAAGAATGTAAGAGGCAATGAATACTGTTACGATCTTATCGAGAGAAGCCATTTTAGGAAGATCAAAGTATAGTAAAGACTGCGTTAAATTAATGGTCTTCAAATTAGTTTTATTATTTTACTGATATCATGGCGAATGCGAATCAAATGTTCGTGCAACTCGAAAATCACGATGTCTGTTATTCCAGTCATCAAAATATCCGAAATACAATGTTAAATACGTGTTAAGGGAGGTCTATCAGATAAAATACGACTTCATTTTTACTTTTTAAACAACAGGTTTTCATTGATACCAATTTTTGTAAGTTTTCGGCAATCATTTTGCACCAACAGTAAAAATTCTTAATCTGTCTCCATTAAAAAAGTATTAAGAACTTGAAGTAGAATTTTGTGTTCTCTTAACTTTCAAATTCAAATTTGGCACCAAAGAAAATTGCCGACAGATCGGAACAAAAATTGCCGATACAATATGAGAAGTGTAGCCTCCTCATATTTCTACAATGTAATTTTAATTGTGGGAAGATCATATCAAGGACTCTATTAGTCTACGGAAGTATCAGAACTCTTGACTAGAATTATAAGTTCGCAATCTCCATATGCACGCAAAATATTTACTAGATACCCCTAAATTATTATCAAAACGTTTGTAGTCGAATAATTTCCATCTCCAGTGATTTCGCCGTTTTGCGTCAGATATAGGTACCTACAAGCACTTCTCGTCCTTTAATCAAATTCATTTGGACAACTAAAAAGGCAAGGTAGTGAATTTTAACACGTATGCTTATTTTGGTAGTTCGAATACAGTAAAAAAAATATGAATGCTAGATTGAATTGAGTACAAAGTAGTGTTATAAAGTTGCGATTCGTATCACGTGTGTGCCCAATCAAGATACAAAGCGGAAAATTTGCACGTGATCCACAGTGAGCGGGTGGAGGAAAATACATCAATTTCTATTTGAAAAGGCGCATACATATTCATACAATACACAAAGGGACTTTTCTGTTATGGAATAATATTAATACTAGTAGATAACTAAACAAAAACAAACCTAGCGCCTAATAAATATTTCATTGCTTTTTCTCTGCTTTATATTAGCGGGAGATAATCTACGCACATCAAACCCCTTTATTCGTACTAATTGAAAGATCCATACATAAAAATCAATTTGACCAAACGAATGGGGTGTTATCTTTTTCGAGGGGTAGGCAAGTACTTATGTTCAGCTTACAATCATACAAGGGGGGGCGTTAGTAATGTAATGGGAGAAGCTGATTGAGGGGTAAAAATGATAAAATGCGGAAAACAAGTGCTTTTCGGTGAACATGAATTATGTGCGCTTGTAGTTACAGTCTCATTAAAAGTTATATTTGTTTTGTAGTAAGCGAAAATTCTAATAGGTAGAAAAAGCACTTTGGCGCCCTCAGTTGCTTTTCTTGGACCCTAATCTGTAAATCCGGATAGCATCGTTCGCCATAGATTATGTCGATTTTGACAAAAGTGTGTTGTAAATTACAGTTAATGTTTAAATTTTTTGTTCAAATATATAGTGCACAAGTTTTCCCGTGCAAGTCGGAATGGCCGCGAGATAAAGTCAGAAATTCCATAAAAAATCCCTGCTTAAACTGCAATTTCCGAGTCTAACCCCAAATTTGTGAGTTTAAGTCGTGTTTTCCAAGGTAAAGTCGAACTTCCCTAGATTACGATGAAACTTTCAGAGCTTAAGCAGGGATTTAGCATGTTCGGGTCTAAAATCGGAATATCGGATTTAACCCGGAAATCATAAGAATATTGACTGCAGTAACTAAACATTCATTACAATAATCGCATTTATCTCATCATTATCTGCTTCAACGTGTAATTCCAAAAGGTCATGAGATTTTTGTGGAAATTACCCGATAAATGCGTTATAAAGTGTGTTAGGTGAAGTTATACAGAATTAATAAACTGAAGAGTCGATGCAAATAACCAACTGGCACGCGAGGTAATTTTGCCATAGTAATAAGGGAATTATGAATTCATGATAATTACCTAAAGAGTGTATACAAAAATCCGGAACGTTGGATATCAACATCATTAATCTATTATTTAGTAATAGTGCGGAGCCGTTCATGCCGAATTTGTTGTTAATTCAATATTTAAGAAAGTTTGAAGTGTATTGAGTTAGACACTAGACTATAAATTAACTGCCAGTTTGATATTCGATGCTAATTAGATAATGCCCCATCTCTATTAGAACTCGTTGTACTGGATTAATTAATTCTAAATTTGAAATTTTGGTTATGATTACCCCAATGATTCATTATAAAGCCTATTGGGATGCAGTAATTAATTATGGCATTCATGTGCGATGTAATTAGCCGAAAATAGTATATTAAGATACAAGTGTATAATCAAGTCTTTAAAGCACGCGCAACGAGTTTAAGGGCACGACGCAAAGCGGAGTGCCTTTAACGTTGCAAGTGCTTTAAAGAGCAATTATACACGTGTATCTTATAGTATTTTTTATTATACCTGCAGTATAATTTAAAAATAGGAAATACAATGAAGTCATATTGACGTTATACTCGAATACATGTCTAATTAAGTGGGCTGGGTTTTCGTAATTTCACGATTGCCATGGAAATGTCACTTGACGTTTGCTTATAAAAATCATCGTCTTTGGAATAAAACGATTTCCGTTGAAAAAGATAGTACACCGCCAATTAAATCGCTTGTTGTAAAATCTAAACAAACGTTGGTAGGTGTAAAATCCCAATCCAGTAAAGCCTATTATCAAGCATTATGAAAAGTTGTTTCCATGGATGAATAGGAAGTTACTTACGAATAAAGGCTTAAATGCATCGATAATGCTGGCATGTATGAAGGAAATGTCAAAGGTATTTAAATCTTCTATCTTTTGGTGCATTCATTCAAAACTTCAAATATTGTTGCGACTAAAAAGTGGAACAGATTTGGAAGCATATACCCTAAATTGAGCGCGTTTGTGGAAGCTTAAACCAAAGGATAGGTACAAGCCAAAGCAATGTTCTGCATTTACAGAAAGCGACCTAAGAGGATTTTTTATTTCAACCCCAGATGACAGTTTCAAAAGTCATATCATACTTGAAGTATCATTACCTAGCAACTTTAAAGCACGTGTGTTTTAAAGGCCTTTTTTCGCACGCATTTGAGTGTTTTAAACGGAGATTGTGATTCAGGTATAATAAAAAAATAATTATAAAGTGCATTCAGGGAATAATTCACTGATGAATGTATCTTCAATTGTATTCTGGTGGGTTGGCCAAATTTTGTAGTGCATGAAACCCAAAAAAGGAGATTTTTTATAAAGCATTAGACAATGGGCAATTCCTTTAACGTATAAGTTTACCAAGAAAAAAACTCAATACAAAAAAGTCAATTATAAACGGAATAATACTATTTACTTCACAAAAATTGATTTTCCGAAAGTAAAAATCCTCCACAGTTTTCTCATTATTGGAGAATTATGGAGCGCTCCTCAGGAAACCAAGACTTAACCAAACAAGTACAAATTGTGCACAACCCCTGTGCAGATAAAGCGCATTTTTTTAAAATTGAAATGGCTTAGTAAATGGGAGGTTATCTTATAAGGTAGTAGCATACTATATTTATCGATGTTTAGTTTCTTGGTAGATGGGGAGGAGGCACATAAACATTTATGCGTCTATTTTGTATTGCAATAATTTCTTTAAATCGTTCCTCAAGACTTCACCCATACCTTCCAGTAGTTGCTGCTATATTATATAATGCATATCAAGTGATATGAATTTCAATTTTTGAGGTGGAGGTGCAGGTGGTTGGCGCCTAGGTAGGGGCTATAATAGCGTGTTCAAATGGGTTCCCATTTCATTCTACCGAAATGGCTTTGACTTTTTTTTAATCTTGTTAAATGTTTGCCTTACATTCGTGTAACATGCACATATATGAAATATTTCGCTATTTAAAAAATGCATAATGCATATCGATTAGTTATTTGTAAAACGGGACGCAATCAAGCGCCTGTATAAAAAAACTTCACTTATAATTTTATTACTTATAATTTCACTAATATGAACTGAAAAGTGAATTTACAATCTGAAAGCGACAAAAATTAGTTATATTACAACTTGGAAACGCTTAAAAAATGCTATTAATAATTTTTCTTCATATAACTTATTTTAAATAACATCGTGACAAAATGGTATTCAAACAATTTGGAAGATTTGTCATGGCATTGTCCCGAAAGTATACAATATCAATTTAAAGCCCTTTCAGCGTTTTTCATCTTAAATCCCGTTATTTAATACATGAATATTCATGACGTTAGTTACGTTCCTATTCATAAAACTTTTAACCGTTTTATAAATTTAGCGCATAAAAGATTTTTTCCCTTAAATCTCAATAAAGATGCGAGAATTACAGACGTAGAATTAGGTGGTATTGAAGCCGGTGCTTGAAAATAGCGCAATTGTCGCTTAAATTTTTTCATTTGAACATTTTTAGCCTAATTGTATTTGGGAAAGTGGCACTAAAACTTTCCGTAAATATTTGAAGGAAAGTTAAGGGATATATTACGCTTTATTTGTGTATGCGTATCGTACGCCCTTTTGGAATGGCCGTTCGTTCAAGTGCGACATGATACATTGACAAACAATGGATGGTTAAATAAATAACTATTGAAAATCGTTGTAAATGTGGAACCGCTGGAAGACGCTACATAAAGACACTTTAAAAAGCGTATACAAAAACATAAAACTTTTGTAAATTTACACTTAATTTTACGTATAACTCAGTTTTCCTTTTATAATCGAGTTTATCTTAAAAACTTTCTGAAGATGTGCTTGTATTTTTTACTTTCTATTTTTCAAACACACAATTTGCAATTTCTGCAATTCAATTTACTTTTGTACGTCTTTACTTGCATGACAGTATC